AGGGTGTAGACAAGCTTTGTCTCCAGCGATGTGTCCCCTTTTCTACAAGCAGATGAGTAGCTGTACACCCAAGCTTTTTGGGCCCGGTAAATACGGACACCGTCAGTGTGCCAGAAGATAGGTACAGTGTGCCCAAACTCTGTTTGCTCAAGACCCAATTCATTGAAGAACTCAAGATGTCGGCAGTGCTGCCAATACTGAGCAACTTTTTGAGCGGCTTTGGAAGGGTCATCGCTAACCCACTGCTCGAACTTGCCACTTGAATGGAGCCAATGCAACAAGTCCCAAGGCCACAGTACTGCAGCATCTATCGTGCCATGTACAAGCACAGGTTCTCCATCCTCCTCGCCCTCCACCCATCCAGGCAGTTTGACCGATGATGGATGCACAGCGCACACCTTCCGACACCACCTGTCAGGCAAACAAAGAGAAACACAGAATCAAATACAGAACTCTGTGCAAGAAAGCAATCCCCGTTTGGCTTTGTAAAAGACCACAGGATCACTTTAGAACAGCGATCACAGAGCGACGTGTTCCCTATCCCAAATGGAGGGCGGTGTGAAACATATATAGGACACCTGGCAAAGGAGCGTTCTTCATGGCCAGTATTTGCCCACCGTGCTAGAGTTTGAGCGACGTCGCAAGTCACCCCATCGGTCAAGAGGTCTAAAGCTGATCTGCAGCCATCAGCCACAGAAGATGCCTTGCTTGACTCAATTACACTTCTTGGCAGTCAAGCTAGAGCAAATTAGATAGAGGGTGTAAAAAGAAATGAGAAAACCTTTTTCCTTTACCAACCAGAAGGGCTCCGGAACAGATCTTTTTGAGGATTTTGAGGCCAGACCGTGAATCTGCTTCATAAGGTTCATGGCCCCTCGAGCTGGATGGTGGATCTTGAGCGACCTCCGGCTTCCTTGAAGGCCAGGCTCTTGGACTTCTCGAGCGCTCCCTGCGTTGGGTGTCAAACCATAGATTGTGTGATGTCCATCAACCTAAAGACAAATCTCTCACACTAGCATTGTTTTCGCAGAAGCTCACTCGTCCAGCTTCCAGATTCAGATCTAAGATTCATCAAACTCTTTGATTTGACTGCGCGAGATTCCCCACTCCTAAGCAGCCATCCACAAAGACCCATAAAGACCCTTAAATGGCACCGTGGTTTCACGGTGTCTTGGGCTTCTGCTTGGGCGCAGCCTTTGCCTTAGGCTTCTTTTCGCTTGCACGGATGAGTGCCTTGGCCAGATCGATCCTGCCTTGGGCAATACCGCATGCCTCTTCAACCTAAGAGAGATTGGGTTAGGTGCAATGGGCTGGAGACGGTTTGAGCCTGCAACATCACAGAACTTGTTTTTTGAAGGGCGACTTCACAAGATTGTTTTTCATATCTACCAAGAAACTGCCTTGATCACGTCGACATAGTGATGGTGCTTGTTCTTTTTCTTACTGATGAGGGACTGGATGTTGTCAGCAATTGATTGGAGCTTAGTGTCCAAAGCACGGAGCTGATCAATCAGGGTACCCGACATGGCCAAAGGCTTCAATTTGAAGGCATGATCTCGACAGGCATTGGCTTTTGTAAGGACTTGATTTTGCAGGGCTACTGCTCTTTCCAAAGGGGTTTTTGGTGTCACCTCCTTTGGAATCTTGTTTGGATCCCCATTTTCCTCCCCCCGCTTTCGCTTGGGCGGTTTCCCTTTCACGGTCCCCATTGCGTTAACCAGTTTCTGCTTGCCCTCGGTGCCCATGAGGCTCCCAATCTGCAGATGCTGGTTCCCATTGAGGCAGCCACCGGCCTGCACAGAGATGGGAATGAACTGAGAGAAGAGGAGAACTCGGCTAGTATGGTTGAGGGCTCGAGAAAAAGATGACATGCGACATGAATTTTCTATACTCAAACGACAACTCTGCAAACACTTGCAAACATGAGCGGGCCTCGACGAATTGCGCTAGACCGTCAGAATCTAGGGTGCCGTTGATCTCCAGTTGTGTAATCCGCTTCAACTCCGCAATGTTTTCCACATTGAGTTCCACCATCACGAAGTACAACACTGCATTGGGATCTTCAGGCAACTCAGGATCTTGCACCACCCTGACATGGGACAAAAATGATTTTGTGGCATACGCTAAATTAATACATATTGGGTAAATATGCGCAAATATAGAATGATGTTTGATGGTGAAACGCCTAAAGGTGCATACAAGGGACAAATTCATATCCTTCTTTCTCTGCATAATAGCTTTCCCTTTGCGCTCACCGTGTTGGCGAATGATCCATTCCTCCGATCGAAAGCCATATTTGAGTTTTGTTTTCTGTGATTCTTCGAGCCGGCGCTGGTGCAGCATCGTCACAGCCTTCTTGTTTCGACCCTTTGCAACGAAGTCCTCAAAGATTCGTTGCCGTGAGTCGTGGTCCTTACATGCAGCAACGATTGCCGCTGGGCACCGTCGGTTCTTCAGCCAGCGTCCAAAGGATTGATAATCGGAATTGGCTGTGACAGAATTCAACTTCTTCTCCTCCAAGTCGGAGATGGTTTCACCCCCTGTCTTTGCCTTCTTGCTTGCCTTCTTCTTCTTCTTTTTCTCATCTGCGTCCTCCTCCTTCTTGTTCTTCTCGCTGTTCACTTCTGTCTTTTCTGCCTTGGCTGCGCTGCCTTCACGGTTCTGCTTTGCCCTCTCATCTTTCACCTTCCCTTCTTTGCTACCGTCCTCCTTCTTCTTCTTCTTCTTTGTCTTGCTTGCCTCCTCTTCATTTTGCTGCTTCTTAGCTGCCTTCCTTTTTGGTTCGTCATCTGATTCTTCTTCCTCTTCTGTGTCCTCATCACTCTCTTCTTCATCCCCTTCTTCATCGTCTTCCTCATCACTGCCAATCTTACTTTCTTCACTTTCTGGTTCACCTTCTTCTTCGTTCTCGCTGTTGCTTCCTTCATCTTCTGTATGTTCACTGTCACCGTCCTCGTCTTCTTCATCTTCACTCTGTGAGGCCTCCTCTGTTTCTTCAGCCTCACTCTCCTCTCCATCCTCACTCTCAGCTTCGTCCTGTGAACCCTCCTTTGCGTCCTCCGTTGCGCTTGCCTCTGATCCAAGGTCCTCCTCAGCGTCGGATTCATCAGCATCAAACGAAGTCTCAATGCTCTCGCCCTCTGACTCTCTGCTCTCTTCCGCTGAAGACTGCTCATCTTCGGTGGTCTCATCTTGCTTGGCCTTCTTGCTAGCCCTTTCCTTGTCTGGCTTGCGCTTCCGATCTTCGTCTTCCTCATCCTTCTTCTTTCTCTTATCTGGCTGCTCAGTCTTCTTGCTTCCTTTTGTCTTCTTGCCTCTACCCTTCTCGAGTGACTGCTCCTTCGTCTCCTCCTTCTTCTTCTTTTTGTTGTCTTTCTCTGGAGCCTCGCTCTTCTTGCTTTCCTTTGTCTTCTTGTCCTCCTTATCTTTAACCTCCCTCTTCTTGCTCTCCTTGTCCTCCTTCTTTTCCTTTGCCTCCTTTTT